ACTTGTATGCATGCATATAAGCATAACCAATAGACTCAAGACACTGGGGGGTAGGGGAGGCCGGGGGAAGGTCAAGGGGAAAAAAAAAAGGAGAAATGTACTACTCTTTGTAATATTTTAAGCAATAAAACAAAATTTAAAAAAAAGAAAGAAACTGGGAGGGAAAGCTTCTGAAATTTGATCGTGCAGACATAAAACTGAGCATAGTTAATAGACAACTGCATAATTTCTATTTTTTTTTCTACATGTGCTTTCCTGTCCCAGGCATTCTATAATAAAAGTTTGCAATAGTCAAAAAAAACAAACACAAAACAATGAAAAAAATATCCTCAGGTGAGGATTAACAAAGAAATATATAAAATAAAATATCTGGGTCTGCCCCCCGCCCCCCCCCCAAAAAAGTGTGGCCTTCCATCAAGCAGCATCCATGTCACTTGGGAACTTGTGTGACGTGCAGAATCTCTGACCCCATCCTAGACAGAAGCTGCAGTCAACAAGATTCTACAAGTGATTCCTATGGACACTGACAGCAGAGAAACACTTCCCTTAGCACAGAGGTTCCCAAACATGGAGGGCTCGCTAAAACACAGATTGCTGGGCCCCACTCCCAGAGTTCTTGATTCAGTAGTTTGGGGCCGGGGCCTGATAATTTGCATGTTTAGTAAGTTTCCAGGTATTACTGACATTGCTGCTCGGGGTACCACCCTTTGAGTCACTGCTCTAGCTAAGGTCCCACTCTAATCGTGCTGCGTAATACCAACATCTGTTTCATTCTTTTCCTTGGCTTACTGGATATCATAGCAACTCTCAACCTGGCTGTGATCACCCAATTGATAAAACGTGCCCAGGTTTATTTGTAGCTGAGCTTTGCTTTCAGAGTAGTCATTTCCAACACATATGTACATGAGTATTACCTGGGGAGCTTTAAGATAATTGGATTCTACTTTAATCGGTTTGGGGTGCGGCCCAGCCATTACTATTTTTAAGATTTCCCAGAGATGATTCTTATATAAAGCTAAGATTGAAAACCGTTAAATTCTTAGGGCTTCTTTGTCAGTTACTCCCAGAGACATTTTTCTATGTTATTATTAGCTTGGGATTTCCTCATCTTTCTTGGATAAATGGGACCTGATAAAGGTGACAGCCTTCATCACCTGGAAATACCTTCCTAGGATCACTTTTCTGATAAGCAGAGTTTTATAATCATTCAAATATATCTCTCAGTCCTTGGCATTTAATTTGGATAGAGTCTTTAATATTTCTCAATAAACACCAAACACACTCTTCTCTGCAACTTTTTATAATTGGACCTTTTACAAAAGAGCCATGCTCTTTTTAACAAAAGTCTCTTTAAAAAACCACCTGTAATGAGGAATTTTAGTAAGAGAGATGAAGTGACTTTTTTCATTACTTAGGCATTCAGTCCTGGATTATCATGTGAGAATGGCAATTTTACCATGTATAAAATAGTAAGAAATAGAGAATCAGTTAGGGGCAAGTAGATAGATTAAGAATATTTTTAAAATATTTTTATTGATTTCAGAGAGGAAGGGAGAAGGAGAGAAAGATAGAAGCATCAATGATGACAGAGAACCATTGATTGGCTGCCGCCTGCACGCCCCCTCCTGGGGATGGAGCCCGCAACCCGGGCATGTGCCCTTTACCGGAATCGAACCCGGGACCCTTCAGTCCCTAAGCCGATGCTCTATTCACTGAGCCAAACCAGCTAGGGCTAGATTAAGAATTTTTTTTAGGGGGAGGTGGGAGCGGATAGGGAGAGGTCAATGGAGGGAAAAGGAGACTTAAATAATACTTTAAACAATAAAGAATTTAAATTTTTTAAAAAAGAATTTTTTTAAAAATCAATGGAAGAATCACTTGACCTTTATAGGTGCTGAAGGAATAAAAACTCACTGAAATGAATAGTCAAGGAGAAATCTCAGGGAGACTCACATGAAGGAGGGAGGTAAGGACAACTAGAAGAGATGACTCCTAATAAGCAGTCTTTATAAGAGGAAGCAGAAGAGAACTTGAGAAAATATGTATCTTGAGGACAAATAATGAGGGGGCAGGGAAAGGGATTTTAAAAAAATCATTTCAGAATCAAAAACTGAGTAGGGAAATTAAAAAATAGAATACAGTTGTACATTGGATTGATAAGATCAAAGAGAGACACAATCTTACAAAAATAAAAAAAAAGAAATGGAAATCAGATTGAAAATATGGGTAGTAAGGTTTCAGGATAGTCAATATCTAAATATATACCTAATACATAAATCAGGAGAGCAAGAAACAGATGGTAAGAAAAATCAAAGAAATATTAGAAAAATATGCCCTTTTTTTTAAAGGCAGACATGAATTTTCAGATCAAAAGGGTTACCAAGTGCTAGACTTATGGAAAAATTAATACCAAAGTCAGGAAAAAAAACATTGGTTAATTACAAAGGCAAGGAAATCAAATGAGTTTCATATGTCTCATCTGCATCTCTAAAGCTGGAAAACAGTGAACCATTTTCAGCTTTTGAACAGAATGGCAATCCTGGAATCCTCTGTTTGGATGAATCATCATGTGTATATGAGAATAGTATTTTTGGACCCGAAAGATTTTAGAATGTCATCTGCCTATGTATTCTTTCTGAGGAACTTACTTGAAGAAGTATTTTATCCAAAATAAAATGAAATATGAATATGAATAATATAAAGATACAAACTAGGTATCTTTATTATACACAGATGTATCTGAAATTGTTTGTGGTGCCAGAACGAACGCTTGGACTTCCATCTCACAGTAGCTGTCTCATGAAAACATAAAACATCCCAAAGGATTGCCAGTGAAGGAGTTCATAGGAGATTTCCAGTTGGGAAGAGACAGCTTTTAGAGCAGCCCCCATGCTTCCATCTGAGCTGTACCCGTCCCTTGGGTTTCTTACCTCCGTGGGCCAGCGCCACTTCAATGATCTATCCCAGGACGTGCAGCAGCCTCCCTTTAATTCCAGCACATGCAATGCAAATGCAAGGTCTTCACCTATATTTCCTTTAACTCAACTATAATAGAGTATAATCTCACAGGGAATTTTTTTAAATGTAAGAAAAAAATGGGGGGGCATTAAAGGGAAATGAATTTTAAAACATACAAACAGTCCAAAATCAATACAACTTACAAAAAATAGATTTATAATTTTATGCTAGCGAATTAACCCACAAAATTTATAATTCCAAGTTTTATTCCTCATATTATATGAAAACCCAGTGCTACAAACACAATTTTTATTTCTAGGCCCTTATCTCTCTCAGTCATTCGTCCTACTGTTGGGAGAAAATTCTTCATAGGTCTCTTGTATTTCTATATATTGTATGAGCAGAGGCACTGGCTGCCTTGGTTTCTGACAATCGTTTCAAGGATGTTTATGTAGCAAACAGCCTTGGAAAATAGAGATAGTACCGTCTTCTGAGCAAGAGCAGGCATGTTACTGTCCATTATAAAAAATTGGGTTCCCTAAGCTAGGGTTCCATTCCTGTGATATAACCCATTGTGTGTGCAGGTGTCATCTGGCACTCTGCTTGTTGCCCTATTGCTATAAATACCAAATGGTCCTCTGCCTCTGATCCAGGAGTCTCATGTCTTCTGCCAGCATAGATAAAACTTTGACAGGCTAACTTGTTAGTTTGTAAGGAGGGTCAAGTCTCAGACCTTTCACAGTCCTTCACACCTACTTCTAAGGAAGAAACCTGAGGATAGAATGACAGAAACTTTGACCCTCCTAGTAAACGGTTTGTTAAAACTTATTGTGCCTCAGTGAGTAATAAAACACCCTCATCCAGGTCCCTGTGCATTTAGAAGGACTGTATATACCCATTTTATCTATTCTACAAGTCTATCTGCTTGTAGGGAGCAGGATTTATAATTTAATTATATCTCAACTAAGTTCACAAAATTAATCCATATAATGTAGTTTAACAAAAGCAAGAAAGCAACATGATAAGAGATTATGTAAACTAGCAAAGAAAGTCATAATCAGTTGAGAACAGAGTTTATCCTCAATCTTATATACCAAATATCTGGCACTTAATTGAATATATTTCCTATAAATCATGTTAAGTATGCATTTATTGAAGGAAAAAGAAAAAGCTGTCATGTACTTCCACCTAACTTTTGGCTTTTCTCCCATAAGCACACTGAATCTTTAAAAGCATTTGGCAAAATTAGTATGTATAACACCTCCCAGAAGAATGTTAATATGACTATAATTTGAGAAATTGAAGACAAAAAGCAAGCCACATAAAGGTACCACATTAGTAATGGGGAAGGGGATATAACTATGGATATAGAAAAAATTAAAATAGTTATAATCAGTACTTTATATAGCTATGCTGCTTTGAAAAATGAATAGGAAATATAAATAAAAAAATAGTCTAAACAAGAAAAAGAAAACATTAGAAATCAATAACTAGAAACTTTTGAGAAAGTAGTCAAAATTTTATGAAAGTACCACCTTAAAGCTGGGTCAGAATGCATTTCTTCAAAATTTTAAAGAATTATTTAAATGGTTTCTCAGCATATAGACAAAGATGAAATAATTCCAATTCTTTTTATAAAGCTGTATTTGATCCTCAAGTCTGACCACAAGAATTATAAACCCTTGATGAATCTCACTTATAAAAACAGATTTTTAAAAAAATCATCATAATAAAGAGCTAATATGCTAATGGTCGGGACGCCATAACGCATAAAGGACCGATCACAGGAGGCTGCCTGTGCGTGCGCTGAGGGGCGTTGCTCCAAAGACAGGGCAGAAGTGGGGAGGCGCCCAGAGAAGGTGGGACCATCCTGTGCCAGGGAGGTCGGGGGTGAGAGCCCGTAGCGCCCCCTTACCAGTTCTTCGCCACCCACCGCTCACACTCAGAGTGCTCCGCCACCCACCTGCTAGAGGAAGGAGCACAGCACAGCAGGCGGGAGGCTTCCACGCTCTCCTCCGGCGCCATGAGAGGGCAGAGCCACCTCATTGCTCTGGAGACAGGGTGGAAGTGGGGAGGCGCCAGGAGAAAGCGGGACCAGCCCAAGGCAACTCTAGGGACTGAGAGCGGGGCTTGAAGCTGCCAGAGAAGGCCAGAGGGGTTGGGGGCTGGGCCAGGCGTGCTGGAGCTCTGCATGGAGAGGTTCAGATGCACGCACTGGGCTCCTAGTCTTACCTAATAATAGAAAAACATGTAAATTGACTGTCCCTCCACTACGCTCACCAGCCAATCAGAAGAGTATGCAAATTAACCCAACAAAGATGGCAGTTAATTTGCATACGTAGGTTCGAAGCGGTGGTGCCCAGCGAAGACGGAAGGCTCTGGGCCGGAGCGAAGGCCTGGGTCTCGGGTGCCGGAGGAAAACCGGTGCCGGCAGCCAGGGGAAGGGAAGGCCTATCGCACGAATCTCTTCATGCTACAGGCCTCTAGTTTATAATAAAATATTAACTTAACTATTTAATTTGCCAATTCTTAACTCAAAAACATATAACATAAAATAGTTTTTTATTTCTTCAATTTCACGGATCATTTTTTGGTTATTAAAAGTCTATCTCAGCGGTTCTCAACCTGTGGGTTGTGACCCCTTTGGCGGTCGAATGACCCTTTCGCAGGGGTCGCCTAAGACCATCCTGCATATCAGATGTTTACATTACAATTCATAACAGTAGCAACATTACAGTTATGAAGTAGCAACGAAAATAATTTTATGGTTGGGTCACAACATGGGCAACTGTATTTAAAGGGCCAGAAGGTTGAGAACCACTGGTCTATCCAGTTTAGTGTTTTGATCCCACATACTACTCAAGGCTTTCCCTTCTCCCATCAAGCCAGAATAATGACTTTGTAAGAGCTGAAATGGAAAAGGGCTATGGCCAGCAATTTTCTTCTTCCTGTCCCCCTACCTATGAGTGAAAGATGGGTGTGATCTTCCTCTAGCACACCTTCTTCTCTTCCACCTTCTAATCTCTTTTTTTCTCTGGTACAGGAACAGTGGTGTGCTAGAGTTAGCTCCTACTAATTTTTTAGAGCTGATTGTTGAATTTTCAGGAATTTTGTTAGATGGTTATTAAACAGTTATTATTAAAAATAAAATTATGTAAACTAAGAATTCAAAGACATACTAAAAACAAAGACATTATTCAAAACTTATCACTTCCTAATTATTTTATTACATTTTACTATTATCTATAGTCTTGAAATTACATGTATTGTATCCATATGATAGAACTATTATGTATTATCATGCTACTACACATTTCTTTCCAGTTTCATATTCAATGATGTCCCATTGGTAGCTTGAAATCAACCTTGGATATTTACATCATAAAAATTGACAAATATTACCAATCAAATTTGTATATATTGTATGTCTAGATTTAAGAAAGTTAAGGAGTAAATGTTAATGATGAAGATTAAACTTAAAAGTATGTCTCTTGCCTGTAGCCATTATATTTTAAATAGCAAAAAATAAAATTGAGGAAATATTCTTCTAGTATTCAAAAACTATTATCTGTCTCAGCAAAGAAGTAACTACAGTGGGGCCTTGACTTACGAGTTTAATTCATTCCGAGACTGAGCTCGTTAACTCAAATTACTCTATCAACTCAATGCAAAAAATCGGCCGAGAGACAGCTGGTATCTCAAAAAACTCGTTAGTTGGGACACTCGTAAGTCAAGGCCCCACTGTATGTCATTGATGAATATATGAAGGTCCAACATATATTTTCATTGTTCACTTTCATATCATTCCTTAATGTAAATAAAAATATCAACCAACATTAGAAAAAAATGTTATTAAATAATTTCCAGCACCCTCCTATATAGGAGTAAGAGGGAAACAACAAAATTTTTTATCTGGCCACTGTTATCATCTTCTCTCTCATTGTTATTTTCTGGAGAACTCTATCATAAAGAACGTAGCTGTTGAAATGAGTGAAAGTGATCAAAAGGTACAAATTTCCAGTTATAAGGTAAATGTCCTAGAGATGTAATATATAGCGTGGTGACTATAGTTAACAAATCTCTAGTGAGATTTGCTGACAGAGTGGAAATGAGGAATGAGAGAAAGAAATCAAAGATGACTAGAGTTTTTGGCCTAAGCCTCTGATTGGATGGAGATGAGGAAGCCAGGATGAGGAACAGATGGGGAAGAAGGTATAAGCAAAATTTTGGTTTAAAATATGTGAAGTTTGAGATGGCTATAATACATCTAAATGCAGAAGTCATGTAGTAGTTGCATATATAAATCTGGAGTTCATACAAGAGTTTAGGGTCTAGTCTGTACATGGGAACATCAGCATAACTGTATAGGTAATATTTAAAGGTGTGGGACTGGGTAATACCAACTACACATGAGTGTCTGAGGTCTGAGGACTGAATCATGGGTTACAAGCATTTAGAGGTCAGAAATATCATGAATTATATACCATTAACTTTCTTACATACTGATCAGGGTTGAGGGGGGTGGGCTGTTGGAGGATGAGGCCCGGAGAGGCAAGTGGCCATGGGCATTTCAGTCATTCTGCCACTCGGTCTATTTGCATATTACCCTTTTATTATATAGAATAAATACTGTGATCTGGTATCTGAACTGATCCAAACTCCATGTTTCATCACATTGACTCATATGGCAATGTCCCCAGTATCTCATTTAACACTTTCCAGCATATTTTTCTAGAAGAGTTAACCAGCTCCTGGACAATAGCTTCCTGAACTGCCCTCAATTTTATGACAACAGCAGTTTCCTGTCTCTTCTTACCTTGAGTGAATATCACTAGTTTTTTCAGCTCCTGCTTATTAGTCCCATTCTTTTACACTTTCTAATGTAATACATTAACACAAAAACATCCAGATCTATATAACTGGGACATCACCACAGTTCTCCAAATTTATTTTTTAGATTAGCCTTATACATTTTGTGATTATTTTAATTACATTAATTTTATTTTCCAGGTATGTCTCTTTCAAAAATGAGCCTGAACCCAGAAAGAGTGATTTTGAGAAGTTAAATTTAAGATTACATGCTGCGCCAACAAATACAAAAAATCAAGAAAACAAGTCAATGGGTAATGCTTTGTGTAATGTATTTATTTCTCCTTTGATATATAAATGCATGTTTTTATTATACACTTTAGTATTTGTATCTTAAAGGTTCTTGATAATTTGATCTCTGTTGAAAGCATTTGCTCAAAAGTTATCTACACTAATAAAAGACAAACATGCAAATTGACCGTACCTTTGCTACGCCTTAAGCCACGCCCACCAGCCGATCAGAGTGACTGTATGCAAATTAATCCAACCAAGATGGCGGCCGGCAGCCACGGAGCTGGAGCAAGCAGGAGGCTTGGTTGCCCCAATGATGAAGGAAGCCAAGCTCCCCCGCCTGCCACAGCGGCTCTGAGCTCCACTCAAAGCAACAAAGTTTCAATTATAGAAGGTAAATAAACCCCAGATACCTGCTTTCAGCGGGCCGTGGCCACGGAGCTGGAACGAGCAGGAAGCCAAGCTTCCCTGCTGCAGCCGGCTCTGAGCTCCACTTAAAGCAACAAAGTTTCAATTATAGAAGGTAAATAAATCCCAGAATAAAAATTTAAAAAAAGGAGAGGCTGGGAGCTTCCATCACCGAAAGGGCTTGGAAAGGCCCTCAGCCCCTCACCCAGACTGGCCAGGCACCCCAGTGGGGACCCCCCAACCCTAAAGGGGGGGTGGCCAGCCTGAAAACAGCCATCAACCCCTCACCCAGGCGGGCCAAACCTCCCTGGGGTGAGGGTCCCCACTGGGGGGGGGGCTTGAACAGTCGGCAAACACCCATCAGCCCCTCACCCCGGCTGGCCAGGCACCCCAGCGGAACCCCCACCCTGATCTGGGACACCCTTCAGAACAACCCAGCCGGCCCCCACCTGTGCACCAGACCTCTATCCTATATAATAAAAGGGTAATATGCAAACTGACCTTAACAGCAGAATGACTGGGAATCACTGGTCACTATGACACACACTGACCACCAGGGGGCAGACGCTCACTGCAGGGGCTGCCCTCTGGTGGTCAGTGCGCTCCCACTGGGGCACTCTGCTCAGCCACAAGCCAGGCTGAAGGCTGCCAGTACAGTGGTGGTGGAGGGAGCCTCTCCCGCCTCCTCAGCAGCACTAAGGATGTCTGATTGCCAGCTTAGGCCCAATCCCCCAGGGAGCAGGCCTATATGACAGTTGGACATCCCCTGAGGGTTCCTGGACTGCGAGAGGGCACAGGCCTGGCTGAGGAACCCCCCCCCCCGCCCCGAGTGCACAAATTTTTGTGCACTGGGCCTCTAGTGGGTTATAACTGCAGTGTGAAAATTTTTAGTGAGCTATAAAGAAGAATTTCCTAAGAGAAAGAGATGTTAAATATCTGAATGGGTAATTTATATAATTAAGAAGATATTTTTATGTTTATTTTTCTAGAAAAAAATTCCGAATTTCTTTTCAGTTCATCATAATGGCCTTTACCATTCATATTTCTACTGACATTTCTGCACATGGTTATTTATGTATTATCTAAGAAAATGGAAGCTTTCTCTGTACCTCTCCTCTTTCTTAGCTCTCACCAGAATTGCTTTTAAAATCCCTTTATGGGCTTACTGACTTTTTCTAGCATGCACATCAAAATTCTTTCAGCTTCTACCCACTTCCAAAGCCACTTGCATATTTTTACGTATTTGTTACAGCAGCATCCCACTTCTCGGTACCAATTTCTCTCTGAGTTCAGGCTGCTATAACAACCTGTTATAGTGTGGGTGGCTTAAACAACAAATATTTATTTCTCCCAGTTCTGGAGGCTGGAAGTCTGAGATTGGGGTGCTAGTATGGTCAGGTTCTGGGGAAGGTACTCTCCCTGGTTTGCAGACAGCCACCTTTCTTTCTCTTAGGCATTAATCCCATCATGGGGGCCCCACCCTCATTACCTCATCTAAACCTAATTACCTCCCAAAGGCTCACTTCCAAATATCACATTGAGGATCAGAGCTTCAACATATAAATTTTGGGTGGCACAAAAACATTCAGTACAAAGCAGCTACCCTATCTAAATTATACCTCCATGTATATTATCACTCACCAACATATGTTTATTTCTTTCACAGCATATATCAATTTATAATTATAATTTATAATTATAATTTTTACTTTTTTGTAATTATTCACTTCTTTGTCTCTTGTTTATTTTCTGTATTACTCACTAAAATGTATGCATCATTGGGCAGGAATTACCATTCTAGAGTCTAGTACCAGTGCCTGGCATATTGTAGGTGCTCAACAAATAACCATTGATTGAATGAATACCACACACTGTATTTGTTTGTTACATCTATTTTTTTGTCTCATTTAAGTCTCACAGCATCCATATTAAAATAAAGACTATCATTTCCACTTAACAGGTGAGGACTCAGAGGGATTAAATAACTTTCCTAAGGCTACATAACTCATATACAAGAAAAGTAGGTTTTGGTCCCAGGTTATCTAAATGCAAAGTCTGTATGCTTTACCCTACATTATGCCTAGTTCAAGACAGTCCATTAAATGATAATCCACATTAATAAAACTCACAATTTGAAATGGGGTTATCGTATTATAGTAATTAATCAAAAGTTATATTCTGTTGTCCAGCTGGTGTGGCTCAGTGGTTGAGTCTCAACTTATGAACCAAGAGGTCACAGTTCGATTCCCAGTCAGGGCACGTGCCCGGGTTGCAGACTCAATCCCCAGTAGAGGCATGCAGGAGGCAGATGATCAACGATTCTCTCTCATCATTAATGTTTCTATTTCTCTCTCCCTCTACTTTACTCTCCAAAATCAATAAAAATATATTTTAAAAAAAGTTATATTCTGTTAATAGAAATTCACTTCTAAAGCACATTATTCTAGAATATATTTAGCTCTAAAAATGTGAAAGCAATTCTATGTAAGCAAACAAGATTATCAAACTACATTTCTAAAAATTTTACTATATGTAGAGAAAATAGTTTATTGAGTTAAATTAAAAGTAGTCTAATAGTGTAGAAATATCATTTATGTTTGTATTTGTTTCTTAGAACTACCAGAAGAAAATCGAAAATCAAGATATGATAGATATTTTCTTTTTCTTAAGGATACAGATGAGGTAGGTTTAATTTGTATGCTTATAATTACTTAATAGCAATTCAAATTAACCCAAATAATTTTGTATATATTTCTACCAGTCCCAAATTCAAATGGGTTTTAGGATTCAAAAGCCTAACATTTTATGTCTGATATTATGGAAAGCTTTATATTTGGAGATAATAGAGGAAATAATATATTATTTGTTGGATAATCAGTACAATAGAAGTTATTTATTAAATATGATAAGGACTAGCAGTTCCCATAAAGTTGGTTAAGACAGGGCATCATAATTTATACATGCATAACTTAAATATTTAATTTTAAATATGAAAATATATATGTATTTGTTAATCTTTTGATGTGTGCCAAGACCATTTTTGAGCATGCGATGGTTATTTAGATTATATAATTAAAATAATAACTACTATAACAGGTTTTCTTCTCAAGTCAATTTTCTTAATTTTTCTTTATGTTAAAGTTTCTCTGTTTGACTTTCATATCTGTAGTCTATTTCTCTCACAACTCTCCTTAACTATTCAAACTTGTCTTTTATACTCAATAAATAATAAATGTCCCCTGTTCTAAACATGCTGTTTTCTTGACCTTCTTATAAATACTCTGGGCTTCTTCTGAAATATCCTCATCTTCAAATCCTAGTAGTAAGTTCTTCCTCATTGATGAAATATTTTTTGTCTGTTTTAGCCCTCACTGATATTCCTCTTTTCTAAACTCCTCCTCATTTATTGATTAGTTTGGTTCTTAGTGATATTACTCTACTACATTATTTACTAATGTTTCATGTATGCTAATCACATCTATCCAATAAGAATGTGGAGCTCATGCTGGCCAGTGTGGCTCAGTCTGCTGGGCCATACATGAAAAGGTAGCGGGTTCAATTCCAGTTGGGGCACATATCCAGGTTTTGGGTTCAATTCCTGGTCAGGGTGCATTCCGGAGGCAACTGATCAATGTTTCTCTCTCTCTTTCTCCCTCCCTCTCTATAAAAATCTATTTTAAATTAAAAAAAAAAAAAAGGAATGTGAGGTCCTGGTGGCCTAGATTTTTATCATATGCTTATTTTTATCATATATTATCCAGAACTACATATATTCTGTGCCTAGTGTGAAAAACAATTGTGGGTGCTAAACACATATTTGGTTTGTTGATGAAGATTCATAAATTATACAGTTTATATTTACATATGCACATGTATGTTTTGGATATCTAGCTATGTGTATTTAAGTAAAAACATATGGAGCCAATCTGAGACTGTAATTTAGGAAAATCCAGATAATTTGTTCCAGTTTCTCCCCCTTTACTCAGGGCTATTTTGCTGTATTGACTCTATGTATAAGAAAGTAAAGCCTCTGTTTAAATTGAGAAGGCTATTTGTTTCTCAGTATTTGAACTTTAGACTTTCCCTAGACTTGGCTAAATAAGTTTTATATGGATTTAAAGGCTAGGTTTTAAAGACAGAGAAAGTAAAAATTAGTAAAAGTGTGAGCATGGGTAAGTTTTTAAATTTCTGTACATTGGTTTCCTTACCTATAAATGGCAATAACACCCATCTCATGGGGTTTTTTTTTTTTTTGAGAATTAAATAAACATATTTTAAAGTATTTAAAGAACTAGACAACTATTAGTTATCATAATTAGATATTCCAAAGGTGAATAAGCAAGTATAAATTATCAATATACACATGGAAAGAAACTATTTCTAAAACAGTTTTCCTTTTTTGTTTTTTGAATTTTAGGTAGACTATGCTAAGCCCTTACAGTATCTATTTTCACCGCATAAACAAGAATATAAAAGAACATTGGGTTCTACAATCTCTTCTCCTATGCCCAGCATTCAATCTAATGCTTATAAGAAGGAAAAAGTTGCTGCTTTATTTGAAGGTATACACATTGTGTGTTTATGTTGAAATAACTGAAAATTAACTGCACCTAACTTTTAGGCATAACCACCCTTGTCAGTGTGGCTCAGTTGGTCTCACTATCTCCCAACCTTTTTCTATAAAATAATCAATGACTGTGTCCTTGGGTGAGGATTTTCTTTTTAATTTAAAAAATTAAGAAAATCTGCCTAACCACTGTGGCTCAGTGGTTGAGCATTGACCTATGAACCAGGAGGTCATGGTTGATTCCTGGTCAGGGTTGTGAACTCAATCCCCAGTAGGGGGCATGCAGGAGGCAACCAACCAATGATTCTCTCCCATCACTGATGTCTCTATCCCTCTCCCCCTTTCCCTTCCTCTCTCTGAAATCAATTATATATATTAGAGGCCCAGTGCACGAAATTTGTGCACTTGGGGGTGGGGGTTGTCCCTCAGCCTGGCCTGCACCCTCTCACAGTCTGGGAGCCCCACAAATGATCGCCCCAAAGAGGTAGGCCCTGCCGCCAGCCAGGTAGCCTGGGCCTCCCTCTTTGTGGCAAGCGTGGAGCCCCCTGATTGATGGACCGCCCCACTGGCCAAGACCTGGGCCTCCCTCTGCAGGGCAATCATCGAGCAATGGCCAGGTCCCCGACCAATCACATCGTACCCGCCTTGGCTGGCCTAGCGCCAGTGAGTGTCATAGCGTGGTCATCTATGGTTGTTCTGCTATTCAGCCATTTGGTCATTTTGCATATTTCCCTTTTATTATTATAGACTAGAGGCCCAGTGCACAAAAATTGTCCACTCGGGGGCGTCCCTCAGCCCGGCCTGTGCCCTCTTACAGTCTAGGACCCCTCGGGGGATGTCCATCTGCTGGCTTAGGCCCGCTCCCTGAGGGATTGGGCCTAAGCTGGCAGTCAGACATCCCTCTGGCAGCCCGGGAGCCCTCGGGGGATGTCCACTTGCCAG